TTGTTATGGTATGACTCATATACCATATCGGGACAGATGCTGGAAGACGCTGGATCGAAGCGGAGCGGAGCGGAAGAATCTGTCCAAATTGGGAAGTTACGTGGGTTGGGGTGCGGGGGCAAAGCCCCGCAGTTTGGTACAGGGGTAATATTGTAATTACATATTGTGCATAGGTTTACTCCTGGGGTTATAAATAGGCCTGTTAGTAACCCCAGGAGGCATCCCTGGTTTCTGTAAACCCTTTTCTGAATAGTGAAAGGAACTCGCCGCTCTGCTCCCGAGGACGTAGGCATCTTTGCCGAACCTCGTTAAATCTCTGTGTTCTTCTGGATTTGTGTCGATTCCTATTTTTCTTCGCCCTAATTTTCTCAACAAGTGGTATCAAAGCCAGGTTTGAGGGGAATAAAATTTTTATCGGCGAAAGAAAAAGTTCGGCGGCGAGGTTTTACGAATCAGAGTGAAGGTTCTCGGACTCCGCGATATCTGTCGAAGGAGAGGGAGTTCGCGACAGGACTCTGGACCGCGGCTTGGGGAAGCAGATTGCGTGGAGATTTGCGGGAAGCGAATCGCGTGAGGGATCGCGACAGAAGCTGCTGGGGAGTTGTCTGACGCGGGAAGGAGCGGAGGATCGCGGCGTTCTGCGGAGGAACGAGTTCGCGGACGCAGAAGCACTGTTCCTGTTCGTGGATCGCGGCGCTCACAGGAAGGAACAGTGCTTGGGCGGAATAGGCGGGATCCAAAAAAGGGAAGGAGCGGAACTTGCGTTGATGGCCAACAGAAAAGGAAGGAGCGCCGGTCTCGAGCAGAAACAGAAAGGTTCCTGGGCAGAAATAGAAAGGTTCCTGGGCAGAAACGGAGAGGAATAAAGAAATATTCGATTTCTTAATTAAAGGAATATTCCTTTGAGGCATATATTTGGCTCCGCTGAAACAGGGCTTTGAAAATCGAAAAGGAAAGCTTTACTGCTGCTTTGAAAAAAAAATAATTGGAAAGAAAAAAAATTTTTTTTTTATAATTAAGCTTATTCAAAACATTTAATTAAGGAAAACTTAATTAAAGAAATTTAATTAAGAAAAATTCCTTAATTAAGGAAAAAGTTTTTTTTTATTTTAAAAAAAAAAAGAGGTTCTAAGCAAGGATTTTTTG